ATAACACCCTAAATTCTCTAGACAGAAAACAAAAAGTGAATATTAACTCCAAATATAAATGAGGTAAAAAGTAGTCAGGGGCCAAGGCAGTGGCTTAGCAGTAACATAACTGGATCCACATGGGAAAGGTCCCAAGTTCACATCTCTGGAACTCCCTCAGCACCAACCACATGCATGCCCATGACTGAGGATAGGTGAGAAAGAAAGTGGATTGCAGCACGAAAACCCTGTTTGGGGTACTCCTTTGCAGAGTAAATAGATGAACTTTTTTAAATAATTATTTTATTTAACTTTATTATTTTTTAATTTACCTGGGGGGGGAGTAAGAAAGCAAGCCACCAGGTTGGGACTCAAACCACTGTCAGCCATGTGGGAGTCCAGTGCTTCTAACCACCATGTCACCTGCCAACCCCAATAAACTTTTTTTTAATCAATTTTATTTATTCATTTTATTTTTTTAATTTGATGAGACAGAGAGAGATAGAGATAGAGAGAGAAGGTGAGAAAGCAAGCCACCAGGTCAGGGACTCGAACTGTGGTTGGCCATGTGAGTGTCCAGCACCCTAACCACCATGCCATGTGCTGGTTCCCCCAATAAATGAACTTTTTAAAAAACTAAGTAATGGGGGTACCAGAGGATGGCATATTGGTTAAGGCACTGGACATTCCCATATGGCTGACCACATTTTGAGTCGCAGACCTGGTGGCTTGCTTTCTCACTTTCCCTTATCCCCTTCTCTCTCTCTCTCTGGTCAAATTAAAATAAATGAATGAATAAATGAAATTAAGTAAATAATTCTTTTTTTAAAAAAGTAATAGGTATAATCAAGATTTGGGTCTAATTTTCGGCTAATTGATTTTTTTTTTGATAGGTTTTTGTTATAGGGCACGTGCGCTCACCAGACAGAAAGAAAGCGTGAAATCACCCCCTAGAGGTGATAGCCACGTCGCAATACCTTGTTACAGTCGCAATCCCTTGTTCCCTATTCTCCTCTCGGGATCATGGGCACGCACGCACATGTGCCTGGTGAGTTTAAGCCACCGGGTCTGGGACTCGAACTGCGGTTGACTACGTGGGAGTCCAGCAACATAGCCATTACGCTAACTGCTGGTCCCGCTAATTGACTTTAAATAGTTCTGAAATGGGCCAGCAGTTGGCATGTGATTATGGTGCTGGACTCCCACATGATCGATGATTTGAGTCCCAGACTCAGTAGCTTGAAACTC